CCACCACCATCATCTTCATCACCTCCACCACCATCATCTTCTTCATCACCTCTACCACCATCATCTTCTTCATCACCTCCACCACCATTGTCTTCTTCATCACCTCTACCATCATCTTCATCACCTCCACCATCACCATAATCTTCATCACCTCCACCACCATCTTCTTCATCACCTCCTCTATCATCATCTTCTTCATCACCTCCACCATCATCATCTTCTTCATCACCTCTACCATCACTATCATCTTCACCATCACTGCCAACACCACCACCATCTATCCCTGCACACCCAGTAGGTGAGGCACTAAAACAAGTCCATTCCAGCTGACTTGGTTTCACACTGTCAGTTCTCCTATGGAATAGGTACTCTTGTCCCCTGTTAGGTGAAGAAATAGAGGCTTTGCATTGTCTGTGGCTGCACTAAATGTTTCTAAAATATGCAAAATCAGTATTGGTGACAGCTCAGTCTCTTGCCAGGCCTGGGGACCTGAGCCTGACCCCCAGAACCATATAGTGGAAGGAGAGCATGAACTCCCACAAATTGCCTTCTGACCTCCACACATGGTCCACAGCATATGTGCACACATAAGATAAGTAGATAATATAAAATAGATAAGTAAATAATTTTTTTTAATCAACAAAATCGGGCTCTGATCTTTGTCTTCTCTGACTCCGAGCCATGGGCTGGCTTTATGACAGCCCTGGTTATGAACATAGTCTCAGTTGTACACTGAGCGTGCGTAGCTCTGAACTGCAGACAGTCTACATAGAATTGAGACTGGGAAAGGCCTGGGGTGGCTGGAAAATACTTCCTATTGGAGGTTGGCTATTGAAAATCTTAGGAGCTTGTTTTCTGCTTCCTCCCCCATATTTCCATATCCTAGAAATTCACCTTTCTCTTGGAATAGAAGAAGCTGACCCAGCAGTCTTGGACTGAGACAGGAATCTCTTGCCTAGTATTCCTCATTTCCATTCTGTCAGAAGATCCCACCACAGTGATTGTTCAGTCCTGCTAGGACCGACAGACAGGCCTGCCTCCTCATCCCACTTTGAACTCCCAGATCAGATGGTGGAGAGATCCGCCAGGGTCTGACTCGCACCACAGACTGTGTCTGTGGACAGAGTTCTCGTGTCTGATAGAATAGCAATTCTCCAGGGGCTGCTGCATCAAGGGATTTTCCTCTCCACAGCCGCTTCTGTGTGTTTCTCTTTCATTCAAAGAGCACACATGGCTGGCTGCTGCTGGCCAGACCCTGCTTGGAAGTTTAGGGCAGCTGCCGTGGTCAGCAAAGTGACCTCCTCCTGCTCTAGAGAGCTACAGCTGCACAGCAGGGCAGAGGTAGGGCAGCTGCTCGGGGGAGGAGGGGAGAGGCTCAGAGAGGTCAAGAGATATGTTCAAAGTCATGGAGTAATTGAACTGACGTATAAACTCAAAGGGCATTCTGGGGTCATGCTGCCTCTTTCTGCTCCTTGAAGTGCCTGCTGAGCTCCAGAAAGATGTCCAGGGAGAGACAAAGCCCTGTGACTGGGAGCTGGTGGGTTGCACAGACGGACTTACTGGTACGCACTGTGAAGGACAGAGTTTGATGCTAGCATTAGCTGCCTTTTCATGTTGTTGTAACAAATACCCGAAAAATGCGACATAAGGGAGGGAGGGGGCTTCTATTTGGCCTCACACTTTGAGGGCATGGCAGGGGCAGTGTGGGGATGGGAAACTGAGTCGCCTGCTCACACTGTGCCCATAACCAGGAAGCAAAGGCAGTAAGTGCTCATGTTCAGCTTGAGTCTCCATTTTCCCTCTAGGTTTAGTCTGGGGCCCAAACCCACAGGACGATGAACCTCTCTGGAAACATCCTCAGACAGCACCAGAGGTTCCTTCCCTGGGTGACTCTGAATGGGGTTAAGATTGACAGTTACACCCGTTAAAATATTTTTGTATATGCATGTGCAAGTACATGGGAGAATAGATGATAAATTAGGGGTTCTTGCACATGGTGGGTGCGGATGATAGGGGTTGACATTGACCCCCCATCTGGGTGGGGAGGCTACAGGTTAACATTGACCCTCATGGTGGGTGAGGAGGCTACAGGTTGATATTGACCCTCATGGTGGGTGCGGAGGATACAGGTTGACATTGACCCTGATGTGGGTGAGGAGGCTACAGGTTGCCATTCACCCCCATGGTGGGTGAGGAGGCTACAGGTTGACATTCACCCCCATGGTGGGTGGGGAGGCTACAGGTTGACATTCACCCCCATGGTGGGTGGGGAGGTTACAGGTTGTCATTGGGATGTCTTCCTATACTGTTCTGTGCCTTATAATTTTAGAAGTGTTTTTATTAAGTGTATTTACCCACGCGGATGCCAGAAGACAGATTGTAATATTTATTCTCTTCTTTTACCTGGTGAGCCATCTCAGCAGACTGACTGGGTGGCAGGTACAGTTCAGAGATCCTCTCGTCTCCACCCCAACATCAGCAGTGTAAGAGCATACTGTCACAGACGGCTTTGTGATAGAACTCAGGTCTTCAATCTTGCACGGGAAATACTTTACCCTCTGAGCCACCATAACCTGAACCATGGGGGGGAGGGGTGAGAGAGAGAGAGAGAGAGAGAGAGAAAGAGAAAATACACAAAAGAGGTATTTTTTGTATTCTCTAATACAAAATTATTAAGAGAATACACAAAATTAAGAGAATACACAAAAGAGGTATTTTTTGTATTTCTATTTGTATTTTTGTATTTTGTGTATTTGAGGAATACACAAAAGAGAATACACAAAAGGGACAAAAGAGGCCAGAAGAGGGCACCGAATCTCTTAGAACTGGAGCTGCCGGTAATTGTGAACTGAAGCCCCTGAAGTGGGTACTGGGAACGGAATGAGCTCTCGCCCTCTGTGTGAGCAGCAAGCATTCTTTTAACCATCGAGGCATCTCTCCAGCCCGACCATCACTTCTCTTAACTCACACAACTGTCCATAGAGGTGCAGATGCCGTCCTCCTGTCACAGATGCGGGAGGTGAGACTTCCGTGGATGAGCTGACTTGCTCAAAATTGCTGCTAATAAGTAGAACGACCTGGGAGGAAATTGTGGGGTAGCCAGGGCTCCTGTTAAAAGGGGGTTGACTCAGGCTTATTCACTGAATACTTCACACTTAATAGGGCACCTGCTACACACCTGACTCTATGCTACTCTCTTAGAATGCAATGCTGAGCAGGTCAACGCTGTGCCTGTAGAACCCACAGTTGCGTGGGTCAAGGGCTGAGCAATGGTAGAACTCAGGCATATTGTTTGTTGGGCTCTGAGCTCTTACAGAGGAAGTTCTCCATTGGGCTTCAAATAGGATCACCTAGGGAGCAACAGAACAATAATGGTGCTATGATCCTACCTAGACCAACAGAAGTCAGAGCCGGTAAGTTTCTGCTCCTAAGGTCAAAGACACAGCTCTGCACCCACTGCAAGTATAGTAAGACCAGAGCATGGGGCTAATAAAATACATGGGAAGTGATGTGTGGTGGCGATGTCTTGTCATGCCAGCACTAGAGAGGCTGAGGCAGAAGCATTCCATGCTTGGGGCTAGCCTGGGCTACATAGTCAGGCACATCCCAAAAACACACAGACAGAAAAAGAAAGAGTGTAAGGGACAGGAAGGAGAAGAATGGGAGAGGACGGCACTGTGAATGCCAAGGCTGCACCTCTGAGAGGGGTGGGGACCTCAGGAGGCAAGAGAGCTGTGGGGAACACGTGTCCTCTCAGGTGACGGAACAGTGAGGCGGGATGATGGGTTTACACCAATTATCTCAAGGTTGTTGGCTGCCATCTTCCTGGGAAGAATTTATTTATTTATTGCAGCTTCTAAAGATGGGATTTTTGCTAGAGTGTCTTGAGATGCACTTGTAAAATTTAAAATGCTGATTAAAATGCGTAAGACGTTGCATGGAGCAGCCAGAGAGGCAGGGAGCAGCATGGAGAAGCTTTGTCACTTTTATTGTTTGAGGCTGGAAAGAGGTCAGTTTGCCAGACAGGGCCTTGCCCTGGCCATTGACACCAGGAGCAAAGGGGAAATGGTCCAGGGACCTCTAAGTTTGATATGGAAAAGTGATCTGTCTCTAGAGTCTTTAGATCTAAGTTAAAGACATACCTGCTCTAAGAAATCCGCAGTCTGAGGGGATATGGCTAGCTTTCAGGGAGCCCCAGACTGAGGAGATATGGCTAGTCCTTGGGGATTCAGTCTGAGGGAGATAGTTTGTCCTCAGGGGGCCCCAGGCTGAGGGGAGGCATGCTGAAGTCTAGGGACGGTTCCTTGTGAAATCACTGAGTATTCGTGACTGTCTCTGTATTCAGAGGTGTGAGGCTTTCTGCTATTTTGGGTGAAGGCACCATTCTTAGTATACTCGGTTAGTCACGGTCTCACTAAAATCTTCATGTGGAGGCTGGATCACAAACGCTTCTTCCGTGTTTACTATCTCTTTCGTATTGATGACTTTATGCTGTGTCAAGAGTATGGCTTTTGTTGTTGTTTTTTCCGTCCCTCTAGAGCAGCCAATGGCCAGGGGAGACTGGAAAGTACATGTTTACTAATACCAATAGAAGCTGATACAGCATAGTGGTCAGCACTATTCTAAGTTCTTCTAGGTTTACAGATTCTGATTAGTAATCACGGTAGCCCACATTTATACACAGACATCCCTCAAGCGCTGACCTTCGTATCCATGACAACACACTGAACCCTTGTTTGTTCAATTCACTGCCCGCAACCCTGGACTTCCTGAATAGGAAGTGAACAATGTGACCTTTTTTTTACAGCTGATTGTACCAGGGGTAGACACATGACACAGACCAGTCCCTGGCCTGGCTGCCTAGCAACCAATCAGAGTTTCTCTTGAGAACTAGAGCAGAGAGACCACATTAAGAATTAAGTTGGTGAGGACCCCTGGAGTGTGGAGCTCAGTCAGTGTTGGGGCCAGAAGTGGCACCAGGGAGACTTGGTTATGTCTATTCAGAGGAAGCTGATTTGCAGGGAGGAGACTAGAAACAGAGATAGAAAAAAGAGAGATCAAGAGACAGACATCCCAGGGAGCCTGCTGGGAGCTTTCTGAGGCTCCTTGAGACCAGCCTCCACTGTGAAACTGGGAGAGGATACCCTTTACACCTTAGACTAACTCCCCTCTGCTGAAGCTGCCTTTGCAGTGGGGTATTTGCTTCAGCATTTGCCTGAGCTTCCTTGCAAGGATTTTAGGATCAAATCAAATAATGTTTATGAAAGGACTAGGTGACCTGTGAGGAGCCATGGTGATTGCGGTGAAATGTCTGGAAACAAGGTGTGAATTTAAATATAGGCAGTAGGGGACTGGCTGCTCAGGGAATCCAATGAGGGAAGCTGGGCAGAGAAGCTGGTGGTTCCCATGGAGATTTGTAGCAACTATGGGGCAGGCAGCCGGAGAAGGCTGGAAGATCCCCGAGCAGGAGAGATGGCTGCGGTGGACTGTGAAGGAGGCTTGGGGATGTTTTGTGGGATGGTGGACAGCAGGGATGGCCAGAGGCTACTGCAGATGGTATGGGCCAGTGGCAGTAACACCAGTGAGTAAGCCATGGGGGGGTTTCTGAGCGGGCATTTTTAGAAAGGCAAAAAGAAGGATCTGGTGGGGGCAGTGGCTCAAGAAGGCACTATATTCTTAGGCGTGGGGACTGGGGCAGAACAGCATCCAGAAAGGGAAGCTTTTTGTGAATGAAGAAGACCTGATTACTCATTCATTCAACAAGCAGTGCTGAGCTGAGCTCTGCTCCAAAAAGAGGTGAGTGAGCTGTGGTTCCGTCCTCGTGAAGCTTCTGGTCTGCTGAGGGAGCCAGGACCATATAACAGTGCTACAAAACAAGGCCTGATTACCAGCAGTTCAGAAGTCCCTGGGAAGAGTGCAGTTGGCTCACGGAAGTCTTCAACTGGGTCTCCCAAATGAGGCAGTTCCTGAGTTGCAAACTCTGAGAAGTGACGTTCCAGGGTGTGAGGAACAGACTGGAGCAGTCTCAAAGCGGAGCAGACTGAAGTGCTGGCGTGAGGAGCCTGGAAAGCCAAGCGACCCAGGCCCGGAGACCACGCCCTGTGGAACATTCTGCTGCTTCTCGTGAGAAGCAAAGAGGCACACACAGGTGGGTCTGACATGGTAGAACTCACTTTGTTGGAAACAGGAAGGATGGAAGTGATTCAGAGAGGGTTCTGGAAGCCAGAAGAGTGCTCGGCTTTTGTCAGCTTGACACAAACTAGAGTCACCAGGAAAGAGGGAACCTCAGTTAAGGAATTGCCTCAATCAGATTGGCTTGTGAGTAAATCTGTGGGGCATTTTCTTGGTTAATGATTGATTTGGAAGGGCTCAACTCATTGTGGGTGTTGCCAACCTTGGGGAGGTGGTCCTAGGGTATAGGAGAAGGCAGGTTGAGTAAGCCATGGAGAGCAAGCCAATAAGCCCTGTTCCTCCAATGGCTTTTCCTTCAGTTTTAGCCTCTAAGTTTCTGCCTCCAATTCCTGTCCTGGTTTCCCTTGAAACAACCCTGGCACCCCCACCCCACTCTCTCCCCATCAAGTTGCTTTTTGTCTGTGTTCTGTAACATCAGCAGAGAAGCAAGCTTCTTTCCTGGTCTTGTGATAGATGACCTGACACAAAAGCAGCTTAGGAAGAAAGGGTTCATTTGACTCAGAATTTCTGGTGACAGTTCATTACTGTAGGGAAGTCGAGGCAGGAACTTAAAGCATCGCACTCACAGCCCAGGGCAGAGAGGAAAGAGACACACAGATGCTTACTTCCTTACTTCCTGCTTATACCTTGCAGGACCAAGCCTAGAGAATGGTGCTGCCCACAGTGTGCCTGGTCTCCCCATATCAATCGGTAATCAATAGGATTCCTTACAGAAACGCACACTGAGAAACTTGATCTTGACAATTTCTTATTAAAATTCTCATTCCAAGTGCTAGGTTATGTGGAGGAAACAGTTGATGTCTACTGTCACACAGGGGAAGTGGCTTCAGCTTGGAATCTCTAAATCTAAGGCACAGGGGATGATAGGGAATTGCCAGGCAGGGACCTCCCAGAAACACAGAAGGCTCTGGATGCCCTGCTGATGACTGAATATGGGTGCTAGAGACTGTCTTCTCTGCCTAGGCAGACTCAGAATGTCCACACTCTGTGTAGCCAAAGCCTTGGGCTCCACGGGTGGGAGAAGAGTTTACACTATGCAAATGACCTGGAAATGGGACTTCCATAGCCCAAGGCTCTTGGGAGTTGGCTCTTTCCTTTCTGGTCCACTTCCACTCTCGAGTGCCTTTATATTCCACAGTAAACCGCCTCCGTTTCCATCGCTATCCACGTGGCCCTAGTCGCAGTCTTTGTTTCAGGCCGCAAGAATCTGGAAATCTCAGAAATGTCTGTGAAAGCCAGGTCTATGACTCGAACGCCAGTGGAGGGGCCCGGGAAGGAAAGGGAAGGGCTCAGCGTGGATCAAGTTGCTGCGTCCCAGAATCGAGTTAGTTCATCTTCTTTGTCTTTACAACCATATGACCCATTTCACACATGAGAAAGGGGAGGGTGGCGGGGGAGGGGGTTAGCACTGGAGAGCAGCTCAGTCAGTGAAGTGCTTGATGCACAGAAGCTCAAGGATCTAAATTCAGATCCCCAGCACTCACCAGAGAACTGAGAGCGGTGGAGCATGCTCAGTGCAGCGCTGTGGCAGGGTAGTCCGGAGGATCCCTGGGTCTCGCAGGTTCTCAAAGCCAAGCTCCAAGTTCCGTGAGAAACCTCTGACAAATAAGTGGATGTCGAACTCAGTAATAAATAAGCAATAGAGAGCGGTCTATCTGGAAAGGAAGCTGACACATAATTTGCTCAGAAAACATAGCTGATAAGGCGGAAGAGCTGAAAAGGAGAAAGGCATGTCGCTGCCTCCTCGAGGCCTCAAAGTGAGAGGGAGCATTGGACAGAAAATGGTGTTGTGCGCAAGAGGCAAACATGATGGGGCTTTGAAGGGAAGGAGAAGTTTCCCTCTAGAATCGGGGGAGGAGATTTATTAAGAGTAAGAGGGGAGGAGGAGGGAGAGGGCAGGGAAGAGTGGGGGAGCTGAGCCTCTAGGAAATGATGTGGGAGGAGGCGTTTCAGGAAAAAATCCCCAGAGAAATTCCCCCAAGTCATTTCAAGAGGAAATACCATGTTTTTATATATTTTTATTTACTTTTATTTTTTCAATTAAAATGTAATTACATCACTTCTCCCTCTCCTTCCCTCTCTCCAACCCCTCCCATCTCCTCTCCACTCTCAAACTGAGGGCCTCTTTTTCTTTGAGTATTATTGTTACACACACACACACACACACACACACACGCAAACGTGCTGGTGCCATGTTTTGTTTCTTGTGGGTATATTGCTTCAGGGTTGTCATTTTGGATGGGATACCAAACAGGAGTCTCACCCCTGGGAGAGACCAATTTTCCCTCTTTCAACAACAGCCTGTAGTTCTTTGTCAGTTTTTCTAGACCAGCACAATTCCTTGGCTACATTCTAAATGACTTATCCTTACATCCACAGACAAGTGTAGTTATTACCCCTCATCAAAGATGCTGCTCTCCACAGTAAATGGTTACCATTACAAAGACTACAACTGGCCCAGTGCAAAGATGAATGGCTTGGGAAGAGCCCAGCCCCAATGGATGCTCCTATATCATAACTCCTGCATCTATGGCTCAGGGAACATCACGGGAGGAGACAGGAATGTTGTAAGAGCAGGAATCCCTAGAAGTCTGTTGTGAGAATGCCTTTCTTAGAAATGGATGCACAAACAAGACTTAAACAATGACAGTATTGACAGACAGCCTGTCATTTTTATATGTTTTGAAGGACTGGTGGTACATTTCATATCACACGATTTAGTTCAATACAACATGTATGACAAAGAGCATGGAGAAGTCAGGTACTGGTTAAGATTTTAAATTAGGACCATTCTTAACTCTATGTCGCAAAGAAATAGCAGCAGGAGGCTTGGACTGATGTCTTCAGGCTGTGGGATTTGGCTCCTTAGAAGGATCAGTGTCATGATGGTGCAGGCTCCTCTTCTAGCAGTGGAGCATTGCAGAAGGTGACACCCAGTGTCAGACTTCAGCCTTCATAATGAAGTACACATATGTGCACACAAACATGTACACACACATACAAAACAGAAAGGGTGGCTTGCTTGAGCTCCCTCAGGCACTCAGTGGAAAACCGAGAGTCAGTGCCAGGACCTGGGTTGACTCCATTCCCCAGCACTTGAGCTCCCCTTCTCTCTGGTCCTTCCACCCAGATTTGTTTTAAAAGTTTTTATGCACATGAGTGTTTTGCTTGCTTGTACATAGTGTCCTGTGTACATGCCTAGTGCCCTAAAGGCCTGAAGAGGGCACTGGGTCCCCTACAGCTGGCGTGGTGGAAGGGTATAAGCTGCCACATGGGTGCTGGGCACCACACCCAGGTCCTCTGAAGAGCAAGTGCTCTTAACATCTGAGCAGCACTTCCCACAGCCAGATTTTCTTGTATCCTATGGGACATTTTACTGGCGATTGAGTTCAGGAGGAGAAAATAATGTTGGCCTTCGACACTGACTTCCCAATTACCAAAGAGAACAGCTGTGGAGACAGCTTGAAATGCAGGCTGCCAGAGAGGCTTGAAGTTTAGGCTAGATTTAGATGCTTGAGGGCTGATGAGATGGCTCAGCAGGTAACTTGTTGCCAAGCCGCATGACCTGAATTCTAGCTCAGGGACCCACATGGGAGCAGGAGAAAACTGTCTCCTGTAGCTGTTCTGTGACCTCCACATGTGCACCCTGTCCTGACACACTCACCCTTCTCATACACGAGTAAATAGAAATGCAATTATAATTATATATATTAATATATATGGAGATGCGTGTTTTGATGCTGAAAGGTCTCCCTGGGCAGCTTTGAAGCACTTGTTTCCACCGAGCATGGAGTTGTCTCTGTGGATTGTCGAGATCCTTCTTCTCCCTTCCCTCCACCCAGATGTGGTCACCCGGCTGCCCTGCTTGTAGCTGATCTTCTAATTAACAAAAGGGCCCATCGCTCCTTTATTTTATGATCACGGTTTAAGAAATGAGGTGGGAATGGTTTTGCATAGGTCTGTCTGATTGCCGGATTAGCAGGCGCCTTCCAGCTTGCTTAATCCTTCTTTAATTCCTTGATCAACTGGGTTCAGCTCAAAACAGCCAGGCACCTAGGAAATTCAGGATAAAAGCTGTGTTGTCAAGACTTAAGCACTATTGTGTTTGTTCATTAATGTGAGCCAACTGTGTTCGTGCCTGTAATGAGAGGGACAGGTACACAAAGACGCGCTGCCAGGGACAGAGCTCAAAGAATAGCATCTGGCTTGGGGAAAATAATACCTGGGAGAGATGGAAAGGGACGTACACTTGAGGTGGAGCCAGGATAAGATTGTGACTGGACACAGTGCCCCAGGCACTGTCAGCCCAGGGCTGGGGCACAGACTGCTCAAATCACAGGGCCCAGGCAGAAAATACACTCCACATACAAAGTGGGAAATTGGTAGAGTTTTAAAAAGAACCCATTGAGAGGGGAAAGCAGAGAAATTGTAGAAGATGATTCCATATTCGAAGCCGTTTCTACTCTTGGGAATGAAGAGTCAAGCAGGGAATTTTCTAGGGGGCGAGAGAGAGCTGTGTTATAAAGAGGAATTCCAAGGGTGTAAGACCCCACTTTGTTAGCCAAGCTCTGCCACTTTGCTTGTACAGTTATCATACACTGCTAGTCATGTTTGGTTTCCAGAATTAAACAGGTGACTTGTTTTTCTCTGTTCTTGTCTTTCTGCCTTCAAAGCTGGTTCAGAGACAGCCTGACCATAAACAAGTATTAGGGATTATTTATCACTCACAACAGGAACTGCCCCTATTCCTCGGAAACTTTTAAGAAGGGCTCCCACTCGGCCACACAGGACTGATCTCTCTTTGGAGACCCTACCATGCCACAGCCTGCCTGTCTGTCCCCCATGATCCTGCAGGGGAGTTCCTTAAGCAGAGAGGTAAATAACTCAAAATAGCTTCAGAAAGTCCCTGGAACTGACCAGATTCACTTTCCTGCCACAGCAAGCAATGAAAGCTGAGGGTCCTTCTCAGAAAAGCAAAGCCAAGCTGCCAAAAAGACTCTCAGATCACACCACTGCCTAGAAGAGGTTTAGACCAACTGAGGCAGCTAGAAAGGACACCCTTACCTGTTAAGCTATCTATAGGCTGTACAGTATGTTCCAGGTTCCCAGCTCTGTGAGCTGTCACCCGGGGTGGGGTGAGCTTTGGTGATGTAGCTGTTTGAGTCATTATTCTGCTCATGTGAGTAACCCCAATAAAGCTCACTGGCTTATCAAGTTGGACTTTGTTGTGGTCTCCCTATCTGGGGTGAGTAGACATGTGGGCTGCGTTTCCCCAGGAAAAGTTTTGTCACACAACAGGTGCTCAGAGTCCTCCTTATAAATCTTGTATCCCAAAAGACAGTCTGCCTTGGTATCCCCTTTAAGCCCCAAATCAGAAACGTTTCATGGTCTCATTCTGCTCCCTGATGCATATTCTCCAGAATGTAGGGGAACGCTGGGTCAGGAAGGTTGGTGGTCCTGCTTGAGTGTACTGGCAGGGAGAGGGAGCAGTTATGGAGTGCCCAGTAGAAGAAGCTCACCCTGCAGTTTGCAACCATCCTCTTGGCTTCTCTTGCTCTTAATCTGGCTGTGGCCTAGTTTTACACCGGAAGAGCTGGGGTGCCAGTGGAGCTTAGGCCTCTCAGTGTTTGCTGATTTCCTGGCCCTTCTCTTTCCAACATACTCAGCTGGGCCCGCTAAGACTTTATCTCCTCTTCACTTTCCTTCCATCTCCAAAGCCTCCCCTGCCCCATGGGCTCATGGTAGGTGAGAACCAGTTTGACGGAATGAGCCTGGTTTAGCTATTTCTCCTTGTTCTCGTTCCTTTGGAGGCCATGCTGAGTCCCATAGGGCCTGCTTTGGATCTCAGAGAAATGTGAGATCGCCTGCTTAAGGATGGGAAGAGGCATCTACTCACTTTAGGTGTGGCAGGATGAGAAACAAATACCTTCATTTCATAATAAAAGTGCCAAACGATAATAATAAGAGTAACAAAAGTCGAGAACTTATTTTACAACTTTGAAAGACTGGGCATCAGCCTGGATTGGCAGGCATGCCAACTGAGTGCAGAGAACAGGTTTTATACCAGAGTGAGTGGCCCCCTTTCTTTCCGCCTACTGAGGAATCAGGAGGACAATCTTACCCGCTGTCTGGGTCATATCTTTTCCTCTGTCACTCACTATTTTTTTAAACAAAAACATGTGTGGGCCCATCTCTCTGTTTTAATACTGTTTATTTTCAAGTTCACTGGGCACATGACCTTGCAGGCAAGTTTGGCTTTTAGTTTAGGTGAGTAGTGTCCCGAGTGTGGACAAGAGGAGGGGATATTTGCCTAACAGGTGTTAGTAGTGGGTTAGTGTTTTCTGTTTGGTTGTAGCTGGCTCTAAGCTGGTTTGAGGAACCATCAGAATGGGACCATTAGAATTCTTTTATACCAGGCTTGCCTTGCATGAATGGATTTAGAATCCAAGAATCTGTCAGTAAAGGTGCTGCCCAGCTCACTCTTGGCTTCACAGGCCTAACCTTTCCTGGCCGCCTTTTCTTGGCCGTGCCCGATCTTCCCTTCTGTTTCTATGGGATCTTGTCTCTTACAGGAGCAAGCTCTTCCTGGGTCTGGATCTCAAATGTGAGTTCTAGGCTAGCTAGTCCTAGCGGACTCCGATCATCCCCAAGGATAGGTTCATTGGACCATCTCCAACTCCTCACCCACCTCATCTCTGGAAGATGCACATGGCTGGTGGGGATACATACTACTCTATAAACTCATCCTCCCTGATCTCAGAAACACAGGTAAGAAGTGAAATGTAATATGTTTATAGGTCCCCAACTCTGAGAGACAAGAGAGGTCACTAAGTCAGGGTACCACTGCCATGATTTTCAAAAGATTTATTTTTTATTGATTTTTAAACTAGACATGTGTGCACACCTGAGTACAGGCCACAGGTATCAGATCCTCTGGAGCTGGAGCTACAGGGTGCTGTGAGCTGTCCGATTTCGGTGCTGGGAGCTAAACTTGGTTCTTTGGCGAGAGCAATATGCAGTCTTGACCTCTAAGGCATCTTTTCAGCCTCATTTTCAGGAGTTCCGAAGTTAAAATTGTTAGAATTGGAAAAGTGCAGATATCATGCAGCTCAATAGCTTACATTAATTGTTAGCTATGAATTTTTTTCCAGGATGACTTCTAACTTGATATGTAGCAGAAGATCAACCTTGAACTCTTGATTCAAGCACTCCTTCTTAGCTCTGGGATGTCAGTCATATAGCATTATGCCCTGTGGTGCTAGCAATGAAACCCAAGGTTTCGTGTGTGCTAGGTGAGCACCTGAGCTACAGCCCCAGCGCTTCCGAATGTGTTTCTCACGAGTGAACTCTTCCATGGATTTTAACAGTTGGCAGCTTCCTTGGAAGGTGGGAGTTGGTGCTTTGCCCAGCTCCTGAAATTCCTTATACATAAGAACCAAGGGGTCCTTGTGTGGCAGAGCAACAGCTCTGAGAAGATCTGATAAAGACTGGCACCATGCAGGAGGGTGACTTAGTTGGGTTGGCAGAGGAGGGGCTAGACCCTGGGTCCTAGCATCCCTTCTTGCTTACCCCGAGGAAGGCTTGTTTTCTTTGGTCCTTCTTGGACGAGGCTTCTCTCCTGTTCGCCAGGTATGCTCCAGGAGTCCACAGAGCAGGGCATGCAGCTGCATTGGGCCAGCTGGTGACATCACACATCTGTGGCCAGGATAAGACTTGCATACTTCACTTGCTGAGCACTGCATTTGTCAGACTGGGAACTTTGGGTCATGAAAGACCCGAGTCGCTTCGGTCACATCCTTGCTCCTTCCTTTGTTGAACGTGATGACGACCTGCACTCTCTCTGCCTGAGACCTTGAATGAAGGTCAGTTAGCATGCAGACCCTGTACCAGATGACGCCACACGTTGTGTAGACAGGCTAAACATTCCTGATAAGGCCTCTTGAATCAGAAGGCTGAAATGAACTTAATTAGTGCTCGGGCTATTCAAGGTAGAGATTAAAGGAAGGTGTCCATATCTCTACAGCAACAAGGTGGGGGTGGGGCGAGGAAGGAGGGAGAGAGAACTCAACGGAGAGAGGAATTGGTCCTCAGAACCTCCTGCCCTTTACAAACTTGTAGAAACCGGATTATCTGGAGACTCTGAGGAGATGTGGGTGCCCTGGAATCCCTGAAGCTGGGACACGGCTGCTTTTGTCAGACTGCAGGGGTGAGGCTCTGAAATGGCAGGAGCTGCCTCGAGGTCATGGTGTCATGAACGATGGTGTCATGGGCTATGCCAGTCTCTGGGCAGAGTGACAAAAGTCATCATGGTGTTTGGGTGGAAGAACCACCCCAGCCCCTGACATCCATAGACCCAAAGAGTCTGGAATGCTTGGATTAAGGCTTCACCCCAGCCCCTGACATCCATAGACCCAAAGAGTCTGGAATGCTTGGGTTAAGGCTTCACCCCAGCAACTGGCATCCATACACCCAAAGAGTCTGGAATGTCTGGGTACAATTTCAATCCCAAGCCCCTCCCCTGGGAGTTGCCTCAGCCCGGATTCCACCTCTGAAATGCTCAAGACCACTCCCACCGGGTACTTACCAGGGTATTTAAACTGCCCCCAGAGAACAAACATGATTTTCTGGTCTTCCGTCCCCACCTCCTCTCTCTGGGGTACTAGAAGGCCATCCGGGAGTGTTGGTATCCATCAAACCTGGACTTTTCTTATTCAGTTTGATTTATTCTGATTTGGATTATTGCATTGGCAAAGAGGTTTATTGGGGAACAAAATCTTTTCATCTGGAGGTCCCACCAAGGGGGCTGTTTTTCCCACTGGCTCAGGGTCACATGTTGGGAATACACCCTTCTCCCTACCACCTACTCTCCGCCAGGCTAAGATTGGCTTCGTCTGGGTAAGATCTGAGTTCCATGTCATTGCTTTTAGAAGCCCAGAGTCTCATATGATCGGGGCTGTCCTGTGAAAGACGTGGCCATGACAGGCTCCTGATCTGACTGGGACAAGGACTTGCCTTGTTCTGGGGGACAAGGGCCTTCCTTGTTCCTGTGGGGTTCCTTTATCAGGAGACATCCTGTTAAGGAATTTCTCACACCCCTCTGTCTTTTGACCCCAAGTCTACCTCGGTGGATGCATTGCGCTAGGCTTTGAGTTCCAAGTCCCAGCACAGACTTAAAAAAAGGACCACTCACAATTGGAGGCCTGATCTACAAATGCCCATGACCTACCTTTTAAAAAATCTTTTTAAATTGGGGCTGACACCGTACATCCCTTAATGCCTAAAAATTTTGCCAGTGTGGAAACAAATAAGTCCCCCATATGTCCATGATTTCTGGATGCTGTGTTCCTGCTCTCCTTCCCCTCCACACGTCTCTAGCTGTTTGGTTTTTGTCTGCATTCCTGGCATGTAATCTGGTCAGATGGGGATTCTTCCTACAACAGATCCAATCCCCCATCCTCCCACTCTGAGCTACATAGGTGTTCTGTCCTTATGTTTCTGTTCTCCCTTACAGCACCTGCTAATCCGGCCCTCAGCGGGACACCTGTGTGCTTGCCTCGCTCCTGCAGCCTACTCCAGGATTTTAAGTTGGTCAGCTGACAACAGTTTCCTGAGAAACGTTTTGTGTGTCTGTTAGTATGTATGTGTAAACAATGTGGCCACAGTATGCTTGTTTTATGCTTGTGTGTCTGTGTGCTTGCTTTAAAATCTGTAAAACTTGTAACTCCAGATTACAAAAGCTCCGGAAAAGTACAAATATGTAGGTAGTCACCATTTTTGATTGAGGTGAAAGTAAAAAATTCAGTGCCATCTTTGGTAAGAGTACCCATGCACACTGGTCCTACCAAGGAGTCACTCTGCCTCTGATGTGCTTTGGCTTACTAAAATATTCCTTCTAATCATCTTGCTTCTGCTAGCATTGGTAAGTTGGAACTGGTTGGGTAAACTATATGTCTAAATTTAACTTATATGTCTAATTTGGATATACCTAACAGGTAGTGGTACCCTGACTTTCAAGTGCCTTTACAGATCTGAGAATATGGCATTTTACAAAAGAGTTTCTTATGGCAGAGAAACATGTCAGCTCCTGCAGCATGTTATAGCTCCTCCAAGAAGATGTGTGGTTGCAGAAGACCTTCTGCCTGGAGGCTTGCCTTTGGGTATGACAAATCCACCCACAGCGAAAAGCTGCCTTCCACCTCATCATCTTCCTGGACACTACACCAGGGGATAGATTGTCTCTTCCTGCCAAGACAGGTAGACTGAACCCTACCCCCACAGAAAAATCCTTGGGCCTCCTGGGCTCAGCAGCTAAAGGCAAGTACTACTTCTAAGGCTGGTGTTCACCAAAGACTATGGAGGGACTTGGGATTGCCTGTGTAGCTGAAAAAAAGCTGTTTCATTTCTGCTCATGTATCCCTCTCAGATCTGTCTGATGGCATTTGATGACTTAAGGTACTGGTAGCTCATTACCTCATTTGTTAAGTCTCCTGCTCAAAATACAGACAGGTGTGCCTCTTTCACAGGCTTCATAGTACAGGATTAACAGGTTTCAGATGTATCTTCAGTGGTCCAGACTTTCCAATTTCCTTTATAATTGTCTTCTAAAATGTTCATGTCTTTTAACCTAAAGCCATAGCCTTTGCTATGACACCAAGGGGCAAACCTGTTCCAGTTGTCTTACAGAGGTTTAAACTTCCACTCTGACTTCACGTGAGCCTTGATCTGTTCCGTCCTGACTAAAGGTCAGAGAATCCAAAACTGTTCATACTCCTCAAGGTCAAACAACAAGATGTTTGGTCAAAGGTGTGGTTACTGGAGCCACAAGACAAGACATTTGACTTCGGGCGAGGTTACCAGGTGTTTTGAGACCTATAAAGATGTAGTTACACTTGCTTGTTCTTTGTATCATGGAGGTCTTGTGTCCTCCCCTTCTGATTGGGGCATATAAGGACTGTGAGAATTAAACTCGGGGCTATTTTACAATATTCACTGATGCCCTTCCAACTCTGTCTTCTGTTTCTTGTCTATTTATTTCCTCGATCCACACTCCCCTTCTTAGGAATGAACAGACAAGTCGGCTGGACCCAACAACTTTGTGTCCCACCACACCACACCAACCTGTTCTCTGGATGTCATAGCTAGTGAGGGTTGAGGTCATAAGCTCTATGCACCTTCAGGAAGGAGACATAGAGTTCATCTCCTCTACATGATGAAGATGTCTTTCTGCCCTCAAATTCTGGCCTTAAGGGTCTCCTGTGTCTTATCTGAACGCCTGCTGAGGCTGACCCCACCCCACACACCGCTCCCTAACCCAGGAACCACACATAACCACCTTCCATCAGGCATCTGCCTCACTGTAAACTGTCCTGGTGTGCTTCTGAGAAGAGAAAAAAATAAAACCTTAGTGTTTAAAACGTTGAGTCTCTTAGAAATTATTATTCATGAAGTTTTATGCGAGTCTTAGAATTTTTCCTCCAGGCTGAGAGCCCCTGCTGGAATGAACTTAGCCACAATGCAGCCTTCATTTCCCAGTAATCTTATTTTTTCCTTCCTGTATTTATGAGTACTAAACACTCATAAATTCAGGATCTGGCATGAAGAACGCTCATGGACATGACATGGCTGAGCTTTTCTGAGTTCATCAGCAGAAGGAGCTGTTGGGAGGACACTTGTGAGGTGGCTGCTGGGACAGGTGTGCTCATGTCAGGGGGTGGGCTTCATCTGGAGGGAGCAGAACTGCCTGTCTTCAGAAGCCCAGGTCTGAGGGGACAAGTCTTCTCTTCAGGAAGCCTCTGTATGGGAAGGCCCCATCTTGAAGGCCCCATTCTTGTTTTACAGGTAAGTGAGTTTTTTGTTTCTTTGTTTGTTTTTAATAAGTGCCTTTCTCATGGGCAAATGTGTTTACAGGTCCCATTTTTCAATGGGAAATTGAGTTTATTGACTGATTAATTTGACAGATGTTTATTGAAGACATGTTTCACAGTCAAGACTCTGGCACCGGAAGCTGACATATCCCTTGAAGCTACTGTTCCAGTTTCTCTGCTTTGTCATGGAGCCCTCCAAAAAGAAAGAGGAGGCAGACGAGCATGTGTAGAGCACCCGAACCTCTGTGAGGCGCTTCTCACTCGTTCGTCTTTGCATGTACGCAATGAGGACTCCTGGAAACGATCTTGATTATACTCAAAGTTTAGGAAGAGACGGAGGAGGTCATGCTCCCTGCTCATGACAGTCAGGGGCCACATAGAATGTTCAACAGTTCCACCCTGAGAGACTCCAGAGTTTAGAGAAGAATTCAGCTGGAGCTCTGTGGTCTTGGCCCCACCCCAGAGCTAGCATCTGCTTTGGCAAAGACCCAGGTCTTTTGAGAAGACTTTGGAACACCTCATCTATACATTGCCCGCATAAGGGCTTTCCTTTATATTTATTCGGCTTTTCTCCATCCCCCCTGCTGCAAACAATCTCATATTTATTTATGGGTGCTCCATAGGATCCATGCATTTCTAACACAGCACTGTAGCTTGCTCCTGCCTTGCCGTCTCCCTGCGGTTCCCTAGCCCAGCCTTCCCTGTGATGTCTGTGCCTAGTGAAGCCTGCTGTTGATCACAAGGGAGACTTCCTGCTGTCCAGAACCAGCACCTGTGAGATCTTCATTTCACCTCACAAAGCTGTGCTACCCTCTGGGAGCTGGTGGGGGATCCATGAGGTGCTCTGGCCTGCGGTTGGACCTATTTATCATAGCAGTGGACTCTTCAGTGGTGGGGTGATGGCTTGGTTGGCGAATGCCTGCTCCACAAGCAAGGGAAACTGAATTTGAATCCTCATCACTCCACACAAGCAGGGGATGGTGGTGCACGTCTGTAACCCGAGGATAGATGGGTACGGTGGAGTAAAGGCATACAGATTCTCAGAACCAGTCAGTCAAGCCAACCAGTAAGTTCTGGGTGGAGTGGGAGACTGTCTTAAAAGATCAGGTGATGAGCAGAGGTGGAAGACAGTCGATGTCACTCTCTGACCTCCAGACGTGTGTTCTTACATGTTCATTCACACGCATACACACTTACTTAGGGAATGGCCTCGTTGTAGCCAATGCGAACAAACTTCAGTGCTGTTTGGGCAATAATACAGGTCACGTCGCTGTCACAGGGGATCAACGGAGAGTAGCTGACCTAGGTTCATCTCTCTCTGGAGATAGGCTAGGATCTAGTGACTGACCGTCTAAGACTGTGACTTCATGCTACCATCTACAAAGTTAACACTGGAGAATTAGGCAATTTAGTAACACAGAAAAGAATGTAAACATATTGGATAATACGTTTTTAAGGATATTTCATTGTGTGTGTGTGTATCTGAGTGTTTTTCCTGTGGGTTTGTGTGTACTGTGTGTGCCCAATGATGAAGAAGGCCGGGAGGTGTTGGATCCCTCGAAACTGGGGTTACAAACTTCGTGCTGCCATGCGGGTGCTCGGGGTGAACAGAGAGCCAGAAAATACAGAGCCACTAATGTTTGCTCTGCCATGAAGTTGCTGTGTGACTTTAGGTGAGTCTCTGCACTTCTCTGGGCCACATTTTCACCATTGACGGTGGAATTACTTAAAGAGTGGCAAGGTTAACCACCGCAAGCACGTCTTATGATGCTAATGCCTTCTGCGTCTCAAGGAGCAGAGATTAGAGCTCAGCTCTCAGGCCTTTACTGCTTTTCAGAATGTCCAGGACCTAAAGAACAGCAGCGATTTTCTCATTGAAATGCTTTTATTCGGTAAAGTGGATAATCCTGGGATATACGCCGTGCTTCTGTTCCTATTCTTTAAAATGCTTCTCATCTGGATTCACCATGCTGGTTCTGGGTGTTTGCTCTGAACTGGCTCTGTGGGGAGAAAACAAAATAAATAAAGTGGGGGAGGGGAGAAAGAAGAGAAGGAGAAGGGAAAAAAGTTTATGGCTGAGAAAATGGAGAAGGGACGGCTCCACTATCCGTGCTGTGTGTGAGCGTGCCTTGGTGCCTAGAATTGAACATGGTCCTGCCTTCCTTCGCGGACTTGACGGCTTTGGTGGCTGCCTACTGGAAAGAACAAGGGCATGCAGAGAAACATTGTGTTATCTCAAGTTAGCAATGTCACCTGGAAGGGGAAACAGGTGAAGTTCCTAGAGATTCGTGGGAGTGGAGAGACGGGGCTCATCGGAAGTCATGTGGTCATCAGAGGCCACAGGACCTAAGCATTTTTCATGTCTTTCTGCCCCAAATCACAAATATTGATAGAGAACACTGAAATTGTACAGTGGGCACTCACTATTTTGACTCATAATTCATCTCTTGCTCTGTTTGTTTGATTACATAATCTTCTGCCAGTCTAACCCTTATCCATCTGTTAATTCATTCCATTCTTCCATATTAAATTTCGGGTTCGTCTGGATGGCAGTGCAGGCCAACTCATGCCACAGTGGTATAGCACACATCCTAGTCAGAGCACACCATTACTCCTGCCTGCTCCAGCACACGCCAAAGTGGTATAGCACACATCCTCATCAGAGCACACCATCACGTCTGACTGCTCCCTCTCAGTGATTCCACACACCACAGGCAGCACTCTTCTGGAGTTTGGTGCCACATGGGTGTTTCCATTCCAGAGCAGAAGGCAAATGAAATTGCCC